CTGTAGAAGGCATTCATGTGACCCCTGGAAGGTTAGACTAATTCTGAAGTCCCTTCCAGTATCCAAGAGTGTGATTAGAGTAGCTAGGTAGGCATAACTGCTTCAAAATTTTGGTTTGTAACATTTATGTTCTCTTGTAACAAGTTGAATGAACATTACCATGTTGATGGCAATGACTCTTCAAGTATTTCATCAATTCTAATGAAAGGACAAGACAGACTTGGTTAACTCTGCTACTAAAAGTCGTGTGCTAAATTTCTGGTGAAAATATTTAAAAATAGTCTTTGAAAATCAAGTGGATTAACCATCTTACTTTAGTATGTTTGCCCTTCAGAAAGTAGTCATTGATATCAATTCCTTTTGATGAATCATTAGTCACTCTTATTTCCCTGTAAAGACTTTAAATTACTTCTTCCTTAAGAGTTATTAAAAGTTGAACCCTGTGACTTGGCTGTACTAGCCCTACATTCATAACCACATGTACATATCTCATTCACCAAAAGACATGAACAAAAGTGTAAGTCCCGGGACTGTCTGTGATAGTCCACACGGGAATGATCCTAATGCTTATTGAAAGTAGAAGAGATAAGTAAGTTGTGACATATCTACATAGTTGATATTAAGGAATGAGGAGAGTGAGTAAACTATATACTGCAGCAGTGACTCTTACAAATATGTTGTGAAAAAGACGCTAGGCACTAAAGAGTAAATAGCATTCCATTTACATAGATTTCAGAAACAGGCAAGATCACCTACATCATACAAAGACGGGATTTGTTCTCCTTGTTTGGCAGTGGAAGGGGTGTCTGGAAGAGGGCATGGAGGTGGCTTTTGGGTGCTAATAGTGTTCTGCTTGTTGGTTTGAGTACTAGTTATATGAGGTTATATGGGTGTGTTCAGCTTGGGAAAATTTGTCGAGTTTATATACTCTTCTGCATGCATGCTTTCATTCAAAGAAAAAAGTACTTGCAATTCAGAAAATTGAAAACAACACCCAGATGTTCTGTGATAACATTTGAGGTATATATGGAGAACAAGCCAGACAAAATAACCTTACATTTTAGAATATATGGCAGCAGAATATTATGGGATTAAAAGGGGTTGTTGACACTACAGCTGTTGCAGTTTTGTTTGTGTGTGAATGGAGTACAGTAGGTGGTAGTATGCTTGTTTGTTTGTTTGTAACCAGGATTTTGAGGGGCTTCAGAGGAGGACATCTTTTCCTTCTTGCTTGTATTTAGTAGTCCCCAAGGCACAGCCTCCACCCATTCTTCTGGTCCAATAGTGATACGCTGAGACAGCATTGAGCCAAGAAGGTGTGACAGTATATCGTATGCTTGTGCGTGATGTTACATCCTCTTTCCCACAGAGAGCTTTGTTAGGATTGATGAAGGAGCTTCAGTCTGCATCTTCATATGGTTTACATGTTTGACTTTTAGGGCATCACCTGAAACCTAACATTCGTAGGATTTGCTTCCTAAATGGACTGACTCTCTTTTTGTAACTTCCCTGGCTTTTTTTTTTTTTTGCTGAAGGCTGAAAGAATATCTCAGTCCAACAGGTTCCATCTCCATGGCTCCAGAAAGTATGGATTCCATGAGAATTTGAATTTCTGTTTTACATGTGTCCCATTTTGATGAGATTCTTTGGGATCTTTGGCCAAAATGTTCACTAATGATAGTCAAGGACCACCCACTTTTTATGATCACATGACAAGGGAGACGGTTTGTTTTTATGCATCCATGGAAGCGCTCAGGTAGCTCTTTTCCATTCGTCTTTTGGGGTGGGGCATTACATTGATAAATATTTTTAATGTTGGACCATTCCTGCATTTCTGAAATAAAGCCCACTTGTATTTGATTCTTTTAATAAAATTTTTGAGGAGTTTGACATTTATGCCTGTAGAGATATTGGCTTGTAGTTTTCTGCTCTCTCTCCTCTTCACAAGAGAAG